GAGGCTGAGGCAGGAGGATCACTTGAGCCCAGGAGGTTGCAGTGAGCTATGGTGATGCCACTGCACTCTAGCCCTGGCAACAGAGGGAGACTCCCCCCCCCCAAAAAAAATTTACCAACTTAAGTCTTTTTAAGTGTATAGATAGTGAGTAGTGTTAACTATGCTCATTTTATTGTGTGACTGATCTCCAGAAATTTTTCATCTTGTAACGATCGCATTTTATACCCATTGAACACACCTTCCCATCCCTCCTTCCTCTCAGCCATTGGCAGCTGCCATTCCACTTCCTGACTTTTTAGTTTAATTACTTTACACAATTTATCGAAGATGACTGATACTGCATTTTTCTTATTATCACTGGCTTTTTCTGTTTGGCGTCCTGACGTTTTTTGCATGTTGTAGCACGGACCATGATGTTATTTTGTAAGACTCAGTTATTTCCCATCGTATGTATGTGCATAGCCATATTTTGTTTATCCATTCTTCCGTCAGTGGACATTGGGGATGATCCACCTCGTTTGTGTGAACAATGGTTTTCAAATATCTTTCTTCAAGATTCTGCTTTCAATTCTTTTGAATTGAATATAAATATACTGGGAAGTGGCTTATTGAAATAGATGGTAATTTTATCATTAATTTTTGAGGAACCTCCATATTGTTTATTACAGGGATTGAGCCATTTTATATTCCTTTGGACAGTGACATGGATACAATCTCTTCACATCTTCACCAAAATTTTTATGTGGGGTGTTTGGCTATTTTTTTATGGTTGAAATTTAGGAGCTTTAAAATCAGTTCTTAATATTAAGACCTTGCCAGACACACGATTTGCCAGTATTTTCTCTGATTTCATGTATTGCCTATTCCCTCTGTTGATAATGTCCTCTGAAGCACAAATCTTTTAATTTTGATTAATCATATTTTGTTTTTTGTAAAGACTAGGCCCGTGGACACTTTACCTGTCAGCCTTGTCCCCACTGAGCCTTCAGCAATTCAAATAACATAATGGGGGTTTTTCTACCCTGTATTCTATCCCGCAAGAGATTCTGCTCATGGGTTTCTCTTTCAGTAAGTTACCAACTCTCTTAGTAGTTACGATGGTGGGATATTGTCCAAAATACCATCAAAGGATAACTTTCTGAATAAGCATTATCAAAGACGCAAAGTCTCAGGATTGCTAATGCTAACTTTTCTGTGCGCTAACTAGTAGGGCTTTGTTATGACAGGTGCTACAGTTCCACTGAACAAGGGGACATTAGTGGTGACACAGGCAACACATCTTTCTCCCTGGATTCACCAACAAGACACATTTTTCTACTCTGCTGTTGCATAACCAAATAGTTCCATTCTAGCATCAGAATTGCTGTGTGGGAGGAAGTGAGTATGGATGGAGAGTTAAGAGTCTCATGACCAAGTCATGGAACAAATGTTTGGAGTCTACAGCATCACGTCTTAGCAAAACAGAGCACAGGTCCCCAGGGCTGTGGGTCTCACCCAGCCTCCTCTACCCATGTGGGATGTTTCAGGACTCCGTGACCTTTGAGGATGTGGCTGTGAACTTCACCCCCCAGGAGTGGGCTTTGCTGGATCCTTCTCAGAAGAATCTGTACAGAGATGTGATGCAGGAAACCTTGAGGAACCTGGCCTCTGTAGGTGGGTGTGACAACATTC